AAAAAAAAAAAAAAAAAAAAAAAAAAAAAAAAAAAGTAGTGCTGGGACAATTAAATTTCCTTCCATACACAAAAAATTTAAGTTGGATCCTTCATCTCACAATACAAAAAAATTAATTCAAAAGTGATGACATTAACATATGACACTAAAACTATAAAACTCCTAGAAAAAAAAGGATAAATCTTCAAAATCTTGGATTTGGTAATGCAGCAGAAACATGTACAATAACTAGAACAACAAAAATACAATAAACTGAGCTTCAACAAAATTAAAGGCTTTTACAGACAATGGACTGTATCAAAAAAAGTAAAAAGACAATCTACAGAACGGAGAATAAAATTTGTAAACCATGTATCTGATTAAGAGTCTTGTATACAGAATATATAAAAAATCCTTACAATTTAATCAAAAGACAAACCAATTAAAACATAAGCAAAAGCAAAGCATGGTCATATATGCCTGTAATCCCATTACTTTGGGAGCTGAGGAAGGATAATCATGATCACGGGTTTTAGTACAACCTGAGGAACTTAGCAAGATCTTATCTCAAAACAAACCACCAGAGCAATGATGAGCAAAATATCTGGATAGACATTTAATGAAAATACATAAAACACCAAATCCTTGAAAAGTTGCTTAAGTGATTAGCTACTAGGAAAATGCAAATCAAAACAATAACTAGATACCTACTTGGATGGTTAAAATTAAAAAAAAAAAAAAGGAAAATAACAAGCGTTGAAGAGACTATACAGAAAACAGAATCCTCATGAAACTGCTGTTGGAACTGGGAAATAGTAATAATGTATACAGAAAACAGTTTGGTGGCTTCTCAGAGAGTTAAGCATGTACTCAAACATATTCATGAAATATATGTTCATAGCAGCATCATTTATAATAACCAAATTATGAATATTATTTAGCTATAAAAGGAATGGAGTATTGATACATACTACAGCATGGATGAACTCTGAAAACATGCTAAGTGAAAGAAGCCATACACAAAATGTCATATATTGTATGATTCCAGTCATATGAAATATCCAGAGTAAGTAAATCCATAGAGGCAGAAAGCTGACTGGGAGTAGCCAGCAGCTAGAGAGAGAGAAATATAATAATACAGTTTCCTTTTGGAGTGCTGAAAATTTTAATGTAGAGATTGTACAACAATGTGAATGTGTAAAAGGTCACTTTAAAATGGTTGTTATCTAAACTTCATCTCAATTAAAAAATAATTGCAGAGGAAAAAATAACAAATACATCAAGATGACATCACTAATTCCACTGTTAGGTACATACTTTGAACTGTTTTACTAGTAACAGAGATATGTCACAATTTACAGTTTTCTAATTCTGTCTTGTAAACATCTGTGGTCACAAAGAAGTAAAACAGTCTGGGTTAGGGTTCAAATATTTATTGGCTTAGCAGCATTAGTATTCTGCTCTACATACAAAAAATAGCCATGAATAGGAAAATGTAATATATATTCTAAACTTAAGTTCTACTTGATAATATGGGAACTAGAAAATCTATAAGGCTTTTAATAACTACTCTTAAGTAAGTAATATCTTCAAACTAAACAGCAAATTAGGAAAGTTAGTTTAGCATCTGAAATGAACAGACAATTCTCAGATAAACAAGTAAAAGCAGCAAATAAATATATGAAAAAATGTTCAATATCACTGGCTATTTGAGAGATGCAGATGAAAACAATACTGAGATTCCACCTCACCTCAGAAAAAATGGCTGCTATCAAGAAATCAACCAATAACAAATGTTGGCAGGGCTGTGGGGAAGAAAGGAACCCTTCTCCATTGTTAATGGGAGTGCAGACTGGTGCAACCACTGTGTTAACCAATATGGAGATAACTCAAACAACTAGGATTAGAGGTCCCATTTGACCCAGATATCCCTCTGCTGGGTATCTTTCAAAAGAATTAAAAGAATCATATCACAGTGATATATGCATACCCATATTTATAGTGGTAAAGTTTGTAACAGGTAAAACTTGGAAACAATCCAAATGCCCATCAACTGGAGAATGGAAAAAGAAGATGTAGTTTTTCTATTAAAATGGAGTACTACTCAGCCATAAAGAATGAGAAACTAGAGACATTTATAGCTAAATGGATGCACATTGAAGCTATATTTTTAGTACTCTTTTTTTTTTGTACTGGGGATCGAATGAACTCAGGACCTTTTGCTTGTGAGGCACACGGTGGAACCACTAATTTAAATCCCTGGCAAGGCTACACTCTTAAGTGAAATAAATAGGACATACCTGAGTAAATACCAAATAGTTTCTCGGGTGTGAGAAACTAAAAGTTTAAATAAGGTTCAGATGGTATAATCGATAGTATGAAATAGGAAGAAAATGGCTTAAGGGGAAGTGGGAAGGGATGGGGAAAGGAAATAAGGGAAAAGAAAAAATGTGAAAAGGAAAAAGTGGAAACAAAGTATTTGTAAATAGGGAAGGGTGAAGGGAGTGAAGGGAGGGCAGGGGTATGGGGAAAAAAATAAGGTAAAGGTACAAGAGCCCAATGATAAATGAAACTGTATTGTTTGCTTTAAATTTACCAATAAACTTAACAGGGGTCGGTGGGGAAAAAAGTTAGTTTAAAAAAACAAGCACCACTGTAAAATAATAAATTGTTATTCTTCTGAATGAAAATATAGGACTATATTTGCTAAAGAACTGATTCAGTTTCAAAAAACACAAAGCAAACTGTTGACAACTATTCATCAAAGAACAGAAACTTCAAATTCAAAGAAATCTAAAACTTAAGGACATAGGTTACCAATACATGAGCCTTTTTTCTAGCATGATCTTCCTGAAGCAACCTTATGTAGATGCACTGGGGATTAATTAAGCCACAACAACTCTTGCTAGAGAAGAAGTCATTGTGAAAAATTCTAGGGTATTAAGAAACAAAATGAATTGGCCAGGCATGGTGGCACACGCCTGTAATCCCAGCACTTGGGAGGCTGAGGCAGGAGGATTGCTGTGAGTTTGAGACCAGCCTGAGCTACATAGTGAATTCCAGGTCAGTCTCACTACATAGTGAGACCCTGTCTCAAAAAACCAAAAAAAAAAAATTAATATCATTAATAAAAATATCATCTTTGTGACCCACAGGACCACAGAATGAATGATACATACTATTCTAAACTCTCCATGGCTTTATGAATTTTTAATTTTAAAAAATCAGCTAACATTTATCAACTATTTATTCTGGGCCAAGCAATGTGTTTAGTGTTTTATATGAAAAATATCATTAATTCTTACAATAAACCACAAACTAGTTTTTTCCTCAGTAAACAATGAAAAAAACTGAAACTTAGTTAAATTAGGTCTTTTGCTTAGGCACAACGGTGGTGAACCTCTGGCATGTGTGCCACAGTAGGCTCTTT